CCATCTGGTTGGAGAAGTGTCAGACAATCCTGGTGTAGAATTATAGAATTTATGAAATCAGCATAAGAGAATACTTTGTCAGGGAGAAATGTGCGTCAGCGGAACAATGTGTTCATCAAGAATGAAACATCGTGGCCGCTGAGCGACATGTTGATCTCAATAAAGTCTATGTCAGCTGAATAATAAAATGTGTATCTACTAAAAACCTTGAAAATTAAGCTTTGAAACTAATAATGCAAACTACTCAAAATTGCTGCCAAAGCACCCCTCCCATTGAGTGGACACCTCGTGCTAACAGGATGGCACCTACATCCTGTGTCCACTCCCGTGGCAAGAATGTCACCACCTCTTGATGGGAGGGCATTTGACTAACCACTTAACACCTAAACCAATTAATAATGTTTACTTGTTGTTATCTTGAATTCTTCAGTGATGTAATAATGCCTTTAAAAGGGTCTGCGCACTCATTTTTTTTGTTGGGTTATTAAAACCATTCCGAAGTTCTTTCATTAACCAGAACCCTGTGTCTCAGTGTGAATTTACTTCCGCGTGCACGCAACTTTATTATTTTTAATTTGGACAGGAACAGATAGTCATTCAAACTTATTGGTTTGCAGAAAAGAATCCACATAACTGGAAGGAACATGCTTTTACCATGCCAAGTGGTTAAGATATCCCCCCCCATGTGCAGGTCTGCTGTTGCTGAGGTGTCTAGGGACATCCTCTGATCGTCATGTTGGAAGTGTGGGAAAGAAAGGGGAAAGTACTCTGGATGTGAAAGCGTGGTCTTGTGGTATGATTGGCATGGCAAAATTAAGGAACCTGGTAGGGATTGTAGTTCCTTGCAGTTGTAAGTACTAAGCAGGAGGTAGTGATTGATGTAGTTGAGAATGTTCCCTATTTGTCTTGTGGTAGCTTGCGTGTATGGATGCCGACTCAAGTCGTATGCCCAGTAATGTGATGATAGTGTCTGGGCCTTCTGTTTCTTATGGGGTACTGGAACGCCCAAGTGGTCAACCAGACTAAGCTGCCGTGAGGCTTCTAGTGAAAAATATGCTTTCTTTGATCAACAAGAAGTCTTCTAGATAGTGTATGACTGTAAGGCCTCTGGATATGTTATCATAACCAGCACAGAGTATCTGCGAATATCGATAATAGGCTAATCTGTAGCTCGAAAGTTGTGCGGGGAAAGGATTGCCCAATTTATGCCATGTAAGTGCCAGTGTGTAGGGTAGATGGTAGCCGTTTACTGTGTTAATCAACCCATGCTTGAGTGATAGCTGTAAAGGTAGATCAATGGTGTTCTATAGTAAGAAAAATCCTCGGAGGGTATGAGGGAGTTGAGACTTGGGGTAGCGGAGGTGTGTGGTGCCAATAAGTCTATGGTTAGTCTTTGTTTAAGGGAAGATTCCTTGTGACAATACCAATGTGTTTGTGTTTGGTGCCATGCTGTAAATGGTGGAGATTGGAAGACCCCTCTGCAAATCTTGGCTATGAGTGTGTTTACAGCCAATGGTTTTGTTGTGCTGACTGTAAAGAGGGCATGCTATATTCCTTGAAGGTGTGTTTATGATACCTGTATGGGAGCCCTTTGAAGCTCCAGAGCTTTAGTAAATCTACTACAAGTCTGGAAGGGTGATGAGTCAGTAGTGTTGAAAATGCATTGGTGTGTACAGATGGTGAGTACGTTATTTGTAAGTTGTATTGGGACACATGGTTTGTCATGTGCCCTGAAACATTTGAACATATATGCAACAGTCTATATGCAATGCAACTACTCATATTAATGGTCTCTGGTAGTTCAGAGGTGCTGGTACATGGAGCCTGAGAGTGCTCGTCCATTTGTTTGGGACAAAATCCCTTCTGTATGGGTACCTGTACAAATAAACATCTCTACATATTCCAAATGTCAACCCAACCAAGGGATGGTCAGTTCCCGATTTACCTGGAATCCCTGGATCTGACATGTTGCTTCCCCAATGTGCTGGGATCATACGTGCAGGGTTAACATCTTGCGTGTCATAAGAATTGATTGTACCAGGTAACTGAGTTTCGGTTGGTGCTGGTTGTACAGTAAGGTGAGGCCCAGCCTTGTGAGGGCTGTGGTGACCAACTCGAGATTGCCAGTCTGTCATAAATTTTTTGGCTCATGAGTTTATGAGCGAGGCTAACATAGCCTGGGTGTCACCTGAGTTGATGTAGCTGGGCCTTCCCCTGCCTCCGTGTTGTCCGTTGATGTATGGAGGAGTTTGAATAACTCTGCTTTCCTTGCTGTAGCAGGGTAGGGGATTTGTCACCTCCTTAGGTCGGTGGTAATGTGTGGGATCGTCCAGGATCTGATTGCTGCTGGACTAGCAACATCTCCTCTACTTGAAGGTGTATCAATTCTAGCCGGGGTGCTAGGAAGAGGTGATTCTTCACCATCTTTTTGAGAAATACTTAAATAACAATAAAGATTTAAATTATTATTTGTACTCAGGGTTCTTGTACTGGCTTGCTAGCTAAGCCGTAAGGCGAAACGATTAGGCTTGGTGTTTTTTTTTTTTGGTGACTGGTGAGGCCCTGCTAGTTGCCAAGTGGCTTGAGAGGCTCTATCTATGCATGGCGCGAGGGGATTTTGTGTGGCCACCGAACGTTGTGGCAGGATGTTGGCCTCTCGGTGACAGTAACCAGAAAATAGGAAGGGGAGTGACAGGTGAGGCCCTCTCTATGATACAATGCGAGGCGGCTAGCTCACGAGTGGCCCGAGGGGTGTATGCCTCCGAGTGTGAGGCGGGGTGTTGGCCTCGCGGGACCACTAACCGAAGCATAATGCAGAGAAAAAAGGGGGTAATACCTATTGGGCCCTAGAACCCTAATTGCCAGTACACCATTACTATTCCAGGGAAGGTAAGAGATGGATAACTACGTGAGCAGGTGTATGTACCTGGTAGTATGGTATTGAACCTGACAATCCGTATAGGTTTTTTAGTAGTAACTGTAACCTGAATGGATAAAACCGTATGGCATAAGGAAATATGGCATAGACCAAGCTTATCTTAATACGTACAGTATATGTGAAAAGTAAAGTGCCGTGATGTGTAAATATTAAACATCGTAGCCATACTGGTTAAATATGTATCAATCTTAACCCATTAAGTGCCGTATGTACAAGTGAAAATGTGGTCTGTCCCCACCTTGTATGTTGTATGTCCCCTTGCTAGGGGAAAGTCTGTTGCGTGAGCAGCGTGCTGTGAAAAATGTATGTGAACTATATTACCAGTTACGTATATACAGACGCGTCTGCTACGGTGTAATAATATATGTATTTATACCTGATGTTGATATAGTGCTTGCTATGTGAATTGTTGTATGTCATATTGAATGGTAGGGGTCAGTGAACATGGTGTTGCAAAATGCAAGTGCACTGGAGATCTGCCGAGTGCCCTATAGGTGGCAGTGTAGTTGGATACTGATTGGTATGTGAAATGTTGTTTGTCTGTTGACCTATAGGTGTCAGTGTTTTGGTGTTTGTAAAACCCCATGAAAATTGTCAATGTACTTGACAGACCTGTAGGTGGCAGTGTTGATAGAACCACTGTTGGTCTTGATGTGAAATGTAAATTATTGTGAATTAAACCTGAAGTTGAGCCCGTGCTGGAGTTTAATTTATGGTTTATGGTTATGTTTAAAACAAACTTATGTGTAATTTATATTGGCTGGTAAATTGTATATGACATGTGAAGACAGTTTTGCTGTTGACCAGTAGGGGCCAGAAATGCTGATTGTATGGTAAAATACCCTTTAACCCCTTAAGGACCAAACTTCTGGAATAAAAGGGGATCATTACATGTCACACATGTCATGTGTCCTTAAGGGGTTAATCCTACCGTTTGACAGATAGGAGTCAGTATAAAAGCGAAAATGCTGTAGTTAGTTTGTTTGCTTATGAAGTGAAATAAAGTCTGAGAAGCCTGTAGTATACTGATTGACCGGTAGGGGTCAGCATGTAGGCGAAAATGCCGTGGTTAGTTGGTTTGTACATGAAATGCAATAATGTCTGAGAAGCCTGTAGTACACTGAATGACCGGTAGGGGTCAGTGTGTAGGCGCAAATAAAGTAGTTCGTTGGTTTGTACATGAAATGCAAAAATGTCTGAGAAGCCTGTAGTACACTGAATGACTGGTAGGGGTCAGTGTGTAGGTGAAAATGCAGTGGTTTATTGTTTTGTACATGAAAAGCAAAAACGTCTAAGAAGCCTGTAGTACACCGAATGACTGATATGGGTCAGTGTGTAGGTGAAAAATGCAGTGGTTTGTTGGTTTGTACATGAAATGCAATAATGTCTGAGAAGCCTGTAGTACACCGAATGACTGGTAGGGGTCAGTGTGTAGGCGCAAATGCAGTGGTTCGTTGATTTGTACATGAAATGTGATATCTAAGAAGCCTGTAGTACACCAAAAGACCAGTAGGGGTCAGTGTGTAGGCGCAAATGCAGTTGTTCGTTGATTTGTACATGAAATGCAATAATGTCTGAGAAGCCTGTAGTACACCAAATGACCAGTAGGGGTCAGTGTGTAGGCACAAATGCAGTGGTTCGTTTATTTGTACATGAAATGCGATAATGTCTAAGAAGCCTGTAAAACACCAAAAACCGGTAGGGGTCAGTGTGTAGGTGAAAATGCAGTGGTTTATTGGTTTGTACATGAAAATGCAAAAAACGTCTAAGACACCTGTAGTACACCCAATGACCGATAGGGGTCAGTGTGTAGGCGAAAATGCAGTGGTTGGTTGGTTTGTACATGAAATGCAATAATGTCTGAGAAGCCTGTAGTACACCGAATGACCGATAGTGGTCAGTGTGTAGGTGAAAAATGCAGTGGTTGGTTGGTTTTTACATGAAATGCAATAATGTCTGAGAAGCTGGTAGTACAACGAATGACCGGTAGGCGTCAGTGTGTAGGCGAAAATGCAGTGGTTCGTTGGTTTGTACATAGTTGTTGTTTTTGTTTTCATTGTTAGATTTGTCTTAAAAGGAATTGAGACATATATACACTAACCAGAACGAGGGGGGGAATAAACTATCCAACCGTGAACCATGTCTGTCCGGGAGTCTTTCAATCCAGAAAGCTATGAACTTGATAAGAGCTTCCGTCTGACTCGGTTTGCAGAGCTAAAAGGCACCGGCTGCAAAGTACCACAAGATGTCTTGCAAAAACTGCTGGAATCGTTGCAAGATAATCATTTCCAGGAAGATGAGCAGTTTCTTGGGGCTGTCATGCCCAGGCTGGGTGAGCACTTATCCTCAAATGCACCACATATGTTGTATTTTAGACCCTAATTGTGCGAGTCTCTCAATTCAAGTGCAGTGTCTGTGGACTTGCAATAAACATTTGGCAAAAATTTAGATTTGAAAGTTAGATGAATTATTAAACAAATGGGCAATTAATTGATAAATTATTTATGCTATAAATTGGTTATACTAATGCATAAACACTTATGAACTTAAATAAAAAATATATAGAAACTTAGAATGTAAGGGCAGATAAGAACTATTCAGCCCATCTAGTCTGCCCAATTTTCTAAATACTTATATCAGTCCCTGGCCTGATCTTATAGCTAGGGTAGCCTTATGCCTATCCCACGCATGCTTAAACTCCCTCTCTGTGTTAAAGGACCACTATAGTGCCCTGAGGGTGCCCCCACCCTCAGGGTCCCCCTCCCGCCCGGCTCTGGAAAGGGGTTAAAACTTACCTTTTTCCAGCGCTGGGCGGGGAGCCGCTAGAGGAAATAGGGGAAGGCTTAACCCATTCATAAACATAGCAGTTTCTCTGAAACTGCTATGTTTATGAAAAATGGGTTAACCCTAGCTGGACCTGGCACCCAGACCACTTCATTAAGCTGAAGTGGTCTGGGTGCCTAGAGTGGTCCTTTAACCTCTACCACTTCAGCTGGAAGGCTATTTCATGCATCCAGTACCCTCTCAATAAAGTAATACTTCCTGATATTATTTTTAAACCTTTGCCCCTCTAATTTAAGACTATGTCCTCTTGTTGTGATAGTTTTTCTTCTTTTAAATATATAGTCTCCTCCTTTACTGTGTTGTGATTCCCTTTATGTATTTAAATGTTTCTATCATATCCCCCATGTCTCGTCTTTCCTCCAAGCTATACATGTTAAGATCCTTTAACCTTTCCTGGTAAGTTTTTTATCCCGCAATCCATGGACCAGTTTAGTAGCCCTTCTCTGAACTCTCTCTAAAGTATCAATATCCTTCTTGAAATACAGTCTCCAAGTGAGGTCTCACCAGTGTTCTGTACAATGGCATGAGCACTTCCCTCTTTCTACTGCTAATACCTCTCCCTATACAACCAAGCACTCTGCTAGCATTTCCTGCTGCTCTATATATAGCTTAAATTAGAAACCACCCTGTAAATAAATAAATTAGGAAATTTGCAGATCTATCATCCAGGGCTTAAAACTTTGACAAAACCAAATGTCAAAACAAAAAAGGCAAGAGAAACACACAATTGTTGAGTAGATTGGGAATCCACTAAATGAAAATTATAACCATAAGAGAACTTTATTTTTGTCTACATACAGAGTTTGGTTTAAAAATCTTGAATAGAGAGCAACATTTTTCCCAAACTTTATTATTCATATTTCAATATATTTTGGAAAAAAGTATCTCAAATCTTATTAAATAGGAATTATTAACCCTAAAATTAGGCTACTGTATATTCGTACTGTAATAAGTAAAAAAAGGTTAAAAACATCTGCACTATCAAATAATTATAATTAAACCCTACCGCTGTATGAAGCAAAATAAATTCCTTTTATACTATAATAGGTTTTACTCTTTAATAGGGTACCTCCCTTCCCCTATTTTTTTTTTTTTTTTTCTTTCTTTAACCCTCCTCACTACCAAGCACCTTGTTTCAAAATATTATCATGGCATTCATTTCAAACATGGTATGCATAGATAACACATAAATGTACAATAAAACAGCAATTTTGTATAGATTGCTTTAACGCCAAACTTAAAAATGAAAATTTATGTACATTTGCACAATTTATATTTTTAGTTTATTCGGTTAACCATTTATAGAAATTTGTTGTTTTTCTTGTGAATGAAAATCTTTAGCCATTATGCAGCATCCCTTATGTTGCTAGTGTTTCACACCGGGCCTGAAATGTTGGTGTAGAAGTAAAAATACAAATATTCTATTGTATATGTGACAAAAAAAATAATAAAAAAATAATGCCCACGTGCAGTAAAACCCTTAAATCATATATTTCTAAAAATAAACATATTTAAAATGTGATCTAACAATCTTTTATGAATCTCTAAAATCATAATGTAAAGCGAACAATGAATATCCCTTGCCCTCCCTCACTGTAGGTATGATCCATTGAAACTTCATTTACCGTTTGTCCTGAAAATGTTTGAAAAACACAGCCTGTCACTTCCAGTCATTAATGTGTGGAATGGGCTGAAAGCAGAGAAACTCTGTACCAGGGATCGTGACCTACAACTCCCAGAATTATTTACGTGCGATAAATGGCCAGAGAATTACAGGTGTTCAGCAACATTTGCGGGACTAGAGTCTGAGATGCCTTTATTTTTTTCACTGCTCTTAAATTCTAGGCAGACGAGCCAAGTTTTGCTTTACAAAGATAAGGAGGGTGGATGTTATTTATGTATTATTTTGTGTTTTTACGAAAACCTATAGCTTTCCATTCCAAAAACATTTGAAACGTAAGTTGTTGATTGGTGCAGACTATGGAATACCGCCTTCCCTCCCACCACTACCTTTCACACTTTGTATGATTAGAACGGCTCCTTTAGTTTCTTTCACGTTTGTCAGCAGGAATCACATGGATGAGCCATCTGCATAGGCATTAACTTTGTGCTGGCCAGACCTCCTTTTCTCTGAGGTGTTTGCACAGTGATGCAAACAAAGTAAAGATTACCTGCAGACACAATCTATCAATGAAACCGGATATGTATGACTTAATTTCATGAGGTTAAAGCACTCTAGCAAGGATTACAGAACCTGCTAGTTAGTGTATAACCCTCTAGCTTGCAAAGACACACATCTTTATTATGTGACCTTTTAATACATCCTGACTTTTCATGTGAATCAAATTTAGAAAGTCTTAAAAGGACACTGTAGCAATCAAAACAACTTTAGCTTAAAGGACCACTATTGTGCCAGGAAAACATACTCGTGCCCCCACCCTCAGGGCCCCCCTCCCGCCGGGCTCTGGTGAGAGGAAGGGGTTAAAATCTTACCTTTCTCCAGCGTCGGGCGGGGAGCTCTCCTCTCCTCCTACATAGCGACGTCATTGGCTGAATGCGCATGCGCGGCAGGAGCCGCGCGCACATTCTGACAGTTAATAGGAAAGCATTTATAATGCTTTCCTATGGACGCTGGCGTCTTCTCACTGTGATTTTCACCATATTATAAACATAGCAGCTATGTTTATAAAAAAAAAAAAAAAAAAAAGGGGTTAATCCTAGATGGACCTGGCACCCAGACCACTTCATTAAGCTGAAGTGGTCTGGGTGCCTATAGTGGTCCTTTAATGAAGCAGTTTGAGTGTATAGATCTTAGCCCTGCAGTCTCACTGCTCAATTATCTGCCAATTAGGATTTACATAACTTTCTGTTTATACAGCCCTAGCCACATCTCCCCAGGTAGTAAGTCACACAGCCTGCATGGGAAAAAAAAATTCATGTTTAATCAGCTGTGAACTTGCTTTAGAAGTTTTTATCTCCTGCTCTGTAGATTGAACTTTAATCACATACCAGAGTCTCCTGCAGGGTCTAGAAGGCTATTAGCAGCAGCAGGTAAATTCTAAATTAAACAGTGTGCAATAAAGAAAGTGTAAACATTAGATCTCACATTACAGGAAGTGTTTAGGAAGGATTGTTAGTCACCTGCATGGAAGTGTCACTATGGTGCATAAGCAAAGTGATTTAACTAAATGGCAGAGAATTGAGCAGTGAGACTGCAGGGGCATGATCTGTACACCAAAACCACTCCATTAAGCTAAAGTTATTTTGGCGCTTAGTGTTCCTTTTAAAGTGATAAGTGAAAGAAGCATTGTGTCTGGTTAAATGCCTTTAGTCACCATTACAACTTAATCTAAATGAAGTTATGATGCCAGGAGGCCCCTGGGCGCGTTCTTACCTTCAGGGGTTAAACCACTCTTAAACAGTTTAACCCTAAAGTTGCCTCCAGGGCTGGTCTCCTCTTCCCCCTCAAGCAGCATTTGTGGATGTCTATAATCTGAGCATGTCAGGCACAAATGTTGGTTGCCTTACTGAATAAACAAGAGCAGAATAAAGCTATGACTAATCTAAAATATCAAGGTGGTGATACACTCCTAATGTTTGATTTTTCCTGAGTGGATCGATTTGTAAATTTGGCGTGTGGGGAGATTGAATATCTGACACTGGGTAAATCTAATAATCAGAACCTGTTTTGGGGTGAAAAAGTCTTAAAGGAATTATAACTAGCACAGGATATCATTATAAAAGATAAAGGAGGTAATTGAGTTCTTATGGATCATGACAAATACATGAATATTACATCTTGCAAGTTGCATCTGAACTGGTTATCAAAACCTAGGGGTGATCCTAGGCGAGTTAATAAATATTCTGAATAATAGGAAAAACAAACACAGAAGCAGAGATAGTGGAGAGATATAACCAACAGAAGTTCTGAAGAATACCTTAGCCAAGGGGTAGGTAACCTTCAGCACTCTAGATGATGTGGACTACACCTCCCTTACAGCCATTATGCTGGCAAAGCATCAGGGGAGATGTAGTCCAAAACATCTGGAGTGTGGAAGGTTGAATAACCCTGCCTTAGCCTATAAAATGATTTTTCTTTGGATGAATTTATTTTAAATGGAAACGTAAATCTCATGACACAAATGGTATCGGGCAACTGGGGCCACCATCTTTGTGGACTTTTTTACATTTTATCAGGCTTTTTAAAATCACAATTCTCAGCAAACAAATATGGGGAATCTGTTCCACCAAATGGCCATATTTATGTTAAGCCTACCACTAATTCACAGTACCCCAATATCAGTGGGTCCTACACCAATTTCAACATGGGAGACAAATCAAATTGTGCTAGTGTTTAATAAGCTGAAGTGTATTTTATTATTATAAATAATATTATATAATTTATTTAGCACTATTTGATTAGTCTCCCACGTTGACATTGGTATAGGGGTGCTTTCTAATTCTGTACCTTTTTAATGAAGCAGTTTTAGTGCATAGATCATGCCCCTGCAGTCTCACTCCTTACTTCACTGCCATTTAGGAATGAAATCGCTTTTGTTTCTGTTTATGCAGGCCTTGTCATCTAGACACACAGTCTACATTAAAAATTGTTTCATGTTACACCAGGTGTGACAGCACTGTGTGTTTACTTTTAGATTGTTTTATTATGTTAATAGAATTTTAATCATATACACAGGAGACCCTAGCAGGCTATTAACACAGCCAGAAATAAGTAATTCTACGTTTAAACACACTGCAATAAAGCAAGTTTAAACATTAGATCTCTTTACAGGCAATGTGTAGCTTTCATGGGGATGTGTGACGTGGGCAGCGTAAACAAAAGCATTTAACTCAGTGGCAGAGAATTGAGTAGTTATACAATATGGGGGCACGATGGGTACACCTAAACCAGTCCAGTAAGCCATGGTTATCTTGTTGCTCATAGTGTCTCTATAAGATGCTGGGGGGACAGTGCACTCCTGACACCATAATCACAACAGTGAGCTCTAGTGGTTAGGATCCTTGAATTGTTCCTTTAAATACATTTTATAGAGAAGCACTGCGCTGTAGGTCTCCAGTGGTTT